CCCGTAAAAATTCCAAATCCGGAATCGCCGAAGTCCCAACCAGTCCGGATTTCGGACTTTGTACTGTATGAGTTTACAGCAGATAATGGTGTAACGAATCAACAAACAAGACACAATAAACAACCAATCAAAGATAACATAAAGAAAATATAAACAAATAAAATAGGATTAAGTTTCAGAATACATCGGCATTTTAAGTTTGATACCTTTACTGAACTTTACTCAACTTTGATACCTTTACTCAACTTCCTCTCACATTTTCTTGCCAGAATGTAAATTTAAAGGTAAGTGACGTGCATACTTAAGTGGATGAATCTCTTCAGGACAGTTTTAACTGCGCATTAAGCTGATAAGACATTTTTCCCCCTCCGCTCATGAAATTTTGCTGTTCTACTTGAATATTGAGTGAGTATGTTCTTTTCCTTCTTATTGTTATACTCTAGCTGAAAGGGCATTTACAATCTATGGATTCTTGATTATCTTTACAACTGACTCTTGGCTGACAGTATGGAAAAGAATTCGGATGTTCCACTTAGGATAATGCATAAAGCGTTATCACTTGAAAAAGATATTGCTGTCTTAAATCAGCAAATTATTGAGCGAAATAATATAGTTCCTGCAGAGGAACAAGAAAAAATGCTTCACTCATTAAGACTTAATGATTATTACAACTCTGTTTTATCGAACCCTAACACTGAATGGATTATGCATAAAGTCGAAAGCATAACCATTTCTCAAAATAAACCTAACACTGATTCAGACAAATCAGATTGGCTTCAAGCCCCTCACAAATGACTAAGGAAAAATAATAACTCATCAGGAGATGATGATCCCTCTCTTAAAACAAGCAGTAAATTCAATTCCCTGTCAAAAGAGAAAACTCAAAAAATAACTCGGATAATAACATGGAGGAAGATGATTCTGTGTCTAAGAACATGACTCCCTTCCAACAACCAAAAAAGTATGCAGGGAAAATTCCTCCCTTAGTAGTCACTCATTCTAACATTAATTGGAAGGATCTGAGAAAAGAGATAAAAGAAAATTAAAAAATTGAAAGATAGAATTGAAGGTTGAGGGCGAAAACCTCAAAAATTAAAGTATTTGATGTAGATGATTATGGAAAACTGCAAGATAAGCTTCAAACGGAAGCAATTCCATTTCATACCTATCTTCTAAATTTGGACAAATGTCTTAGAATAGTTATAAACGGCTTATCATCTGATTTCACTGCAGTTGAAGTAAAGGAAGACTTAGAGCTTCAGAATATTCCTGTACTGCAAGCAAGTACAAAGAATGCGAGATGGTGTTTTGGTAAATCTACCCATCTTTTACATTGAAGTTCCACATACTGATGCAAGAAAAAGTATATGGAAAATATGCAAAATCTTAGACATGTGTGTGCGAATTGTATCTTATAAGAGCAGGCCGGGCCCCACGCAGTGCTTCAACTGCCAGAGATACGGCCATACTCAGAGAGCCTGCCGCAAACCCCCTGTATTGTGTTATATGTTTAGATTCTCATAAAACTATAGTCCTATTAAAAATGATAAAAGCATAGCTGCTACTTGTATACTCTGCAAAGGGCCACATCCAGCCTGCAGTGTTGAATGTCCCAAGAGACTGGGAAATGAAGAGGCATCTATCCGCAAACCTTCTAGTAAAATAACAAAGTCCCCTGCAACAGGAAAAGAAAACTCGGAAAGTTTGGCTTCTCACATCCAATCAGAAAATAATTCAACCATGGCTAACAGCCAATCATATGCAGCTGCTGCCGCAGCACCTTAAAAAAATTCAAATAATTCTCGTATGAAAAGTACTTCAAATATAAGTGGGAAAGAAATCCTTCAAGAGGATGATTTTGAAAAGTTTACCGAATTAATAAAATGTCTGTTTCAAATCTACATCAGATGCAGGAGTACTAGCGACCCAGCTCGCAAAATTAACATCGCTATGGATGTTGTAAAGACCTTTATCAAAAACGATAATGTCTTTTAAAACTTATTCTAATCCACAACAAAATTTACAGCATATAAATTATGCTAAATTAATGTTTCATAATTGCAATGCCATATCTACACAACTCCTTGATCTCAAGCACTATATCAAAACTAACAATTTGGACATTATATTGCTTAATGAAACACATCTTGGAAGCACGGAAAGTCTGAAAATTTCCAATTTCGATATATATCGCTCAGACAGATTACATAACAGAGGTGGTGGAACTGCTATAATTATTAAACGCAGCCTAAAAAGCTATAAATTAGCTCTTCCTTCACTATCCAGCATTGAAGCAGTTGCTTGTATCTTCCCCAGCAACAACTTGAATTATCTTTTGGTTTCTGCTTACAAACCACTGCAAACGCAGCTTAATACTCAAGATCTAGATATAATATTAAACTTAGGCTACCCCACAATTATAGCCGGGGATTTTAACTGTAAACATACTTCTTGGCACTCCAGGAGAACAAATCAGAATGGAATTAACTTGTTTAATTACAGCTTATTTAATAATATCAGAATTCATGCTCCTACGGAGCCTACTCACTGCCCTAGCAACTCACTCTTTAATCCTGATGTCTTGGATATAATAATTACCTCTAAAATTAAGAAAGTACCTTATCTTAGTGTAGATAACAAACTCACTTCTGATCATCTTCCCATCAGATTTACGCTATGTGGACTTCGCTGTGGATTACTACTGTTACATAGCAAAATAAACTGGAATAACTTCACCCACATTCTCTATAACAATATTTCTATGAATAATAACATCACAGATATCAGTGAAGCTGAAATGCAATTCTCTCTAGCACACTACTCTCTATAATTTGAACATAAATGGCTGTCAACCTGTAGATGAATAATACCCTTGATAGGAGCAGGTACTCTTCATTTTAATTTAAAAATGTGTCTATTTACTTTATTAGTCTACACTTGTGAAATATGGGTTATTCTCCAGTGATCCCTAATACTGTAAGTTATCAGCAACCAACAACCTTGATTTGCACTTATATACTTTGGGTTTATTTAATTCAAAATTCTCTCTAAATTTAGTCTCATTGCTGTATGCTAATGACCTAGTTATTGAAAGTAACTCTCAACCAATTTGGCTTAGTTTATTTGGTTATGACAAAGCATGTGAGGGCTATTTGTCTAAAGGGAGGGTTGCCTTCATGAAAGATTTTCTCAAAGCAACCTGGCTCATATTCACATTACACATAGGAAAACTATGAAAATGCTCATGCAGCCAACTTATTCGCCTGGAACCAAACCCAGGTTGAACTACCAGGGCTCAGCGACTTTATCATTCGGCTGGTGCTAGGCCAACTGTTAACCACTAGGTAACTAACTGGTAACCAACAGTCTTGTATCATGTAAGATCTAGTGTTCTTAGCTAGCATAAAATGTAACTAGATCTACCTAAGTGTAATCCTTGCAAATTCTTGCACAGGCTTGAAGATCAAACATTCAGGGGAAAAGTGTAAAAGATCCTTTTACTGAAAACAAAATATTTAACAGAAGGTATGGACTTACGTGCTTACACAAAACACCAACCGCTTGCAGTGAGAACTTAAAAGATAATGTAACACTAACTTTAACCTTGTGATCCTGATGTTTTTTGCCCTAAAATTTTACACTTCCTTAAAATGTCATGAATAAATAGTATTTTCTTGATTATAATTAAAAAATGACTCTCTAACTCTTTGATTCCTTTTGTTCCAATATACGTTCAACCCAAAATCAGATACAAGCTGGCAAAAATATTTATGTGTAATGAATAAGAAAGCCACTCTTCTATATGGAATTTTCCATCCATAATGAGAGGGTTAAAGGTAAAGAGTAATATGAGACTAAACAATTCAGTTTAAGTTAACAGGTGGACTCAGAAAAACTGCACCAGCTGGATAATAACTTGGTGGCAAGAAAACGTACCTGATATTAAGGTTAACAGATGGTGGAAACTAGCAACATGCACTCACAATAGCAAAATCACGCCCTGTGTAACCTTTTCGCTCGAACAGTTAAAATATTCTCTTTCACCCTAACTCATTTTCATCCTGGCAAGGGAACATGAAGAGAATAATAGAATTCAGGAAAGATTCACAAAATAAAATAACTATTAGAAAAAATAAATAGAACCCTATAACATTCAGTTTAATTTTATTTTATTAATGAACCTAAAAAATGTAATTTTAAATTACATTCTTTTTATTAAAATCTGCAGCATTATTTTAATTAATAAAAGATTTATCTAACACTATTTATTTTGAATTCAAACAGAATAAATTAATTTTTTGGGGGGGTGGGGGCTTTTTTAATGTGAAGTAATGAGAGATCTTCATCAGCACAGATTATTGCTCATCATTTATTCATGATAGGTATTAATCATATATTTATCATAGGCACCACTCTTTTTTAGCTAAATATCATTCTGTGCTTCATTTCATAGTTGCAGTATCAACCGTTCAAGATTTGAAGCGGAAACATAAAAATATGCACTGATGAAGAATGATGTATTAGCTAATGTAAACAAGGACACTTATTAATGCATGATTAAGTATTCAATTCTTAAAATTGTGTATTTGAATTCTTCACAAGAATTTAAAAAATTTTTCTCTTCTCTGTATCTCCTTCACATGCATTATTATTTAGCTTACGCATTTTTATCATGATCTTGAAAAATATTATGTATAAGGCATAGTTATATTTTCAAATATAACTATAAAAAACATAATTTTAAAATGTCAAAGGGAAATCATGTTTAACTAAAATATAATTGATTAGGTAATTAGAGTTGATTAAAATATTGTGCTGTAATAAATTATTAACATGTGTTGTTGATATATGTGAATTAAGGGATTTGAATTTTTCAATTTCAAAAGTGTTTTCATTTTCTGTTAATTAATTTATTGTGCTTATAATAAACTGATTGTAATTTCAGAATTCATTTTCATTTTTGTATGTTGTTATAAAATACAGATACTTCTTTATTTTAGGAGTTGAGGTTCCAGAACTGACAGCCATGCCTCATTTGCAACATCTTCATTTGCAGTGTGTTCGTTTTACAAAGCTTCAGCCATTTAGGGCGTTTTTAGCTCAAAATCTGAAAACTTTCGTGATGAAACATTGCATGGGTCCTTCTGTATCTTTAAGGTTTGATAATTTCACTATAAATTATGTGTGATAAATGCAGAAAAAACTTATTCATATATTTCTAAGTTAGCAGGGCTCGAATTTTGATGACCTTAAAATTCACTAAAAATACCCCTTAAAATGGAAAAAATTCCTTAAAAATTTTTTTAAATCTCTGCAAAAAATAAAAATAAAAAAAAATAAAATAATAGCATAAAAGAGACACAGTTGACAAGGATTGGCAACTGGATAAAAATCTGAAATATTACACATCTCTTACTTGATTTTTTTTTTTTTTTTTCAAATTATGTCTTGCACAAATATATTACAATTGCACTGAATATTAAGTGCTTCTTGATGTTTCTGAAAGCGAAAAATTTTCTGTCATCCATATGTAAGTTAGCACGATAAGCTTCTCTTAGCGCCCACTGCAGCTATTGGAACGCACTTGAATAAAACTGCCTGACTTACCATTAACTCTTTTTCATTTTGAAAAGAGTCTGCTTCATCAAGATAAGGGATATTTTTCACATAATTTGGAAGCCACAATTTTTTGACGAAACAGAGTTGAATGTAGCAAATGCAGTATTTCAAACTTTGCCTAAAACACTACCTAATTTATCAGTGTAATTTATTGCATTGGCTAGTTTGATAGTTTGTCCTTGTGAAGATTTAACAGTTGAAATTAGGATCCTGAAATTGGATCTGATGTACATAAAATTTACACATGTTCATGTGTATCTAGAAATACAAAATGTTCGAAGATTGAATATAATAGGCATTCATTTTTTTTTTTTTATATCAAAAATGCATACAAAGTACAAAGTCTGAGATCCGGACTTGTTGGGACTTCAGCAATTCCGGATTAGGAATTTTTCTGGATATATCAGTTTAAATCTAGTAAGATGGCATGTAGAAATTATAAAATTAAAAATATGAAATAGTGATTTATGAAAAAATTAAGTATTTATGATCTAAAGGGTATCAAAATTTACAAAAAAAAAAAAAAAAAAAGGCTTAATAATTATTTGTTTACTTTGTTAAACATTTCTTTGAATGTAAATTGTTTTAAGATGCTTTGTTTTTTTGTGCTGATACTTTCTCTTCAATTCTATAGACAGACATAATTTCTTGTTCAGTTACAAAGTTCCAATGTTCAAGTCATGCAGTTGCTGTGTCCATAATTCTGACTAACTCATGAATAAAAATTTTTTCATTTTCAATAACCTCTCTGTTGCTTTCTTCACTATCGGTAGTGGTATTTTCTGAATCTAGAACCATACTAGAGATTCTGCTGTCCGTTAATTAATTGATTGATGACTGGAGTATTGTCATTGCAATGAAAAACTTCTGTTATATGATCTTCATTTATTACCACTTCTTCACATTTCTTTAAAAAATCCATTAATTGTAAAATTTCACCTGTGGTTTGCGATATCCAAAAGCCTTCAAATTCGTGGCTATCATCTTTAGCATCCGCAGCATGAAATATGATAGTCGGCCATAAATTAAGCCAAGCATTTTTTAAAGTGTCTGGATTCACATCCTCTCATGATCTTGCATTGCTCCCCACAGCGAACTTTATGCTAAAATATCTCAAAAATTCTTGAATAGTCTTGCAATTATTCAAGAAATTTGACATGGATATTAAAAATGCTTCTTTATATTTGCATTTCAACTCACACACTGTTCTGATATCCATTGGCTGAATGATGGACATACAGTTTGGAGGAAAGAATAACATGGATCCATTATCTTTCATTAAACCTTGAGTGAAATATGAGCCGAAATGTTATCTACAATCAAGATAGTTTAGTTGTTAGATGTTGGTTTACCTGATAATCAAGATAGATTATCAGGTAAACCAACATCAGGTTCAAATGTTTCTGAGCCTCGGGAATGAAATGATTTCCAAATTAATCATACATTAATGCTTGCATCATCCGTGCTGTTTTATTTGCATGATATATAACGAGAAAATCTTTATTACTTTAAATGCTCGAGGTCGTGTATTTTTTCCGATTACAAAAAGTTATGTTATACTTGTGCGTTCCTGCAACATTTGAGCATGCTAAAATTGTTAGTCTAGCTTTAGAATCTTTGACACCAGTTGGAGCATTTTCTGTAGAAGTTGCCAAGGTATTTCACGGTACATATTCCCAGAAAAGACCAGTTTCATCAGCACTGTAACTTTATCTTGGAGATAATGTTTCACTATGAGTTCAATGAATTCATTTGCAAATAGTTCAGCAGCTTTTTCATCTGAAATTTTTAATTGCATTATGCCACAGTGATTTTAAAATTTGGTTAACCAATCTGTCGAATATCCACACTCAGTTTTTAAGTTCATTTCTTCATGAAATATTTTGGCTCAAGCCATTAACATTAGACCCGTCAATGGCACACCCTCACTGTGCCTCTGTCTGACCATTCAATCATCACTTTGTCATGATTGTCGCTTTTAGCATAGCGAATAATTTTTCTGTTATTCATTGCGAGTGAGGTGTCGGAATCCACAAAAAATTCATAAAGTTCCTTTTTCTGTTATGTGATATACAGTTGACTTTTCATTGCCATATTCCTCGCATAGTTTTGAAACCTATCCATTATTTGCAGCAATTCCGGTTTTAAGTTTAATGGAGAACGAAACGTTCTTTCGCTTTTTAGATCATATTGCAGCTCCAGAATTAGAAACTCCTTTTGACATAATCGAAAGTTCAAACCTGGAAAAACAGCCTGCAAAAATAATGAGCTGGGTTAAATCAGAAAGTTAAAGAGCAGCACAATCTGCTATATTAACTGAAATTCTTTGGAATCAGTGAAGTATAATTTTAGCCTAGCTTAATAGCTTCCGCTATACATTATTGGCTATGTAGCAATAATGAAATTGACAATGAAAGACAAAATGTTCCATTAAATTTTGTCTTGCTTCTATTGTGTACTGAGACAGCTAAGCCTGAATTATATTAATTTAGGTATTCATTTTACTTTCGCCTAATTCTTGCACTCACATAAGGCTTATCTGAATCCTGAATAAATTCCCACATATACTTAAGTTTACTGAGGACAGGTGCTAGATATTTTGCCGCCTGATGCAGTCTCTGTAAGTCCTAAATTCTACTCCAAGCACCTCCCTAAGTTCTAAATTTTTGTTGCAGTACTTTCTCTAAATTCTAAAAATTTTATCTTCTCTTAATTTTGTTTTTCAGTGCTTCTCTAAATTCCAGAAATTTTGTCTTCCCCAAATTCTGCTGCCTGGTGCAGCCATATGAGCTCTGGCGCTGGTTCTGAGTTTAATGTGAATAAAAGATCAATTATTCTTAATTCAAATAGCACTAAATATTTTGGCCTATGAATATCATTAACAGAATATATTTTTACATATGGAAGGAAATTTTTGTTGAATGTTTCCTGGTGAACATTTAGTACATTTAACTTAAATCTGTAATCATTGCCAAGCGTAATGTCAAAAAAAAAAAAAAAAAAAAAAAAAAAAAAAAAAAAAAAAAAAAAAAGGCTTCCATACTCTTCGTTATTCAAATACTAATAAAAAAAATTGTTTAGGCATCACTGCATAAATCATTACTCAATTTATCATGTGTTGATAAACATACAGTGATGAAAGCAAAATATAACAAATGATGATTCGCCAAATTGGCTTCAGGGATACAAAATATTAGTAGTTGTAGAATCAACAATGTTTCTGTATAGAATATTTCAGTTTGAGATATATGCCAAGCAGATATGCAGCTACGGAGCCAAATTATTGATCACACAAATTTATGCTAAAATGATTGTTTCTTCAATAACGAGGTATTTATTTAGTGCCAAAGTGAAACTAGGAATCGGGATCTCCTCATGTTTTCTTATGGGGAAAAAAATCAAATGCACATGCATAAAGCATAAAAAAAAATTCCTAAAATTTTTTTTGTTGGTTTTAAGGTCCGGATTTTAGATTATTCTGGGTATTATATGTCCATGAATTAAAAGCATATTAAAAAACTGAAAGTTTTCAGATTTTATATTATGCCCAAAGGGGCTTTTTTTTAATGTTTTGTGTGTTACCTTTATTTATTAAATACCATGTTTTTCACACTTAAACCATAAAATTAAGTTCAACAGCAATATTAACAAAATGTTTAAAAGCACATATCTAGAATTTCTGATACACGGTCTTACGCGCTGGAGATGAAAACATTTACCCCCTCCCCGGACAGCATTGCCATTGCTCACTTTGAAATCATTGAGTTTCTTAATCAAAAACTCGTAAATCTTTACAAAATATGAATATATGAACAATAAATCTTGTTTTTACTTGAAATATTTTTCAGCAAATCATCTAACACCTGTCTCTTAACTGATTTCTCAAAGTCTTTTCACGATACTCTTCAACTAAAATAAATTCAGTTTCAAAGTCCTTTTCATTTTGTAAACTATCTAAATAACTGTTATGAGTTAATTCTAAAGTGTCTGCCTTTTGTTTAAATAATGCTAAACACATTTCAATTTCGTCATATTCGACGCTATCATCAGTTAGTATGCTTTCTAATTTATTATAGGCCTTCGTAAATAAAGCCCTTTGAGTGGTTTTGTTTCTCTTTACTATTTCCATTTCTAGTAAGTTATTCACTCAAAATTTCTGAAACTTCGTATTTTCAATACATATAAATTACCATTTACGTATCAAATATTAAATTTCAAATCTTCAAAATGGAAAGCAATAAATCCTCTCTTACCTTTTCTAGCTTCTTGTTGTCGTTCCAATTAAGCTGGCCTACCCAGGGGCGCCAAAAATGTCGGTTAGTTTAGACTAAAGATACTCATTAAATCAGATAAATGAGATGGCTCACTTTAATTAACAGACAAGAAGTTTCTTTAAAGGCATAAGCATTTTATTTCAATTATTTGCAACAAACCACTTCATTACAAACTCATTCCTTTTTAAAAAATTTTAAAACTACTGTTCTAATCACAGTCTTGTGATAAACCGACACGTTGCTACTCTTTTTCAAACAAATATTAACCAAGTTAAATTAATTTCCAGAAGTGGCACAACAAGCAAGTTAGTAATCTGCGATGCTCAGCCAGAGCATTAAGAAACAAAGAATGCTCAACCAGAGCATTAAGAAACAAATTCTCTGGTATGATGCTAAAATCTGAATCCTTTCAGGTTTTTTCTTACTTTCTTTTTAGTTTGAAAACATGTACTGTATAGTACAAATCCATAATCCGGAATGATCTATAATCTGGACCTCAAAACGACAAACTTTACGCATGCGCATACATTACGCATGCACGTAAAGAATGCGCATATGCATGCGTAATGTATGCTTTACGCATGCGAGCATTGAAAGAAATGATTAATAAAGTAAACAAATAAATATTAAGCTTTTTTTTTGTAAAATTTGATACCCTTTAGATCATAATTGCTCTTTATTTCATAAATTACGGTTTCATGTTTTAATTGTATAATTTCTGCATGCCATCTTACTGGATTTAAATTGATGATCTATAATCAGGAATCGCAGAAGTCCAGAGGAGTCCGGATTACAGACTTTGTACTGTATTATAACTGTTTAACGTAAAATCGATTTAGGTCACATTTTAAAATTTATAAGTAATGGTTAATATATTTACTGTAGGAAATATGTATTCAGTTAAATGAATTTGGGTATTGCAAAGTTTGTTTTTAAATTTTTAAATCGTAAATGATATGGTACTATAGGATATTTGTGCAGATTTTGTGTTAGGCACATCTTGATAAGATTTTACATTCCAACATTTTGTGTCTGTTTTATTAACATTTGGACTAATGAGTTACAAAGACCTCTCTTTCGGGTGAAAAAATTCTTTTATACTTGATTAATTGTGTGAATTATAATATGAAACTATCTAATTATTTCTCATGTTTAGGTATTTATCCTTAATTATTGCCTTAAGTTCTTCACCTTCGCTAAACCGCTTAGAACTTGTACGTGTGCCTTTACCCGGAGGATTATTTCAGCGTGCGGTTGAAGATTCCTACAGGCATAATGGATTCGTTAATTTAAAAACTCTTATAATTGCTGGTTGCAAGGTATGTACATTGGGAAAAAGTACTGGCTGAACTACATAATGTTTATTGAGATTTTTTTTTGTATTAATAAAATTCTTCTAAATAGTTAATCTTTAATGATTCATGCATTTTGTATTTAAAAAATATTTAATTAGCTTTGATATAGAAGGCAAAGCTGTTAGAAATGTGGGTTTGAATTTTAAAATTTCTAAACTTTCGTTAAAAATTTTTTTAATTGCTGTGTGATCTTGATTTTGTAAATAGAACTGTTTCCTTTAATAAAGTAATTCGAGTGATTTTAAGAATTGAAAAAAGGTACTGTTATTGAAACTTATTGAGGATAATTTCCTATGATTATAGTACTGATAACTTCTTATAATTGTAGTACCGATAATTTCCTATAATTATATAATTATAGTACTTTGTGATTTTTAAAAATCATTTTTGATAAACATATGAGTTTATTTATTTATTTTTATATTTTTTCTGTAAAATAAAGTATCTGTTAGTTATGACATGACTAACTTTTTACAAAATCACATTTTGCATAACATTAAAAAAATATTCAGTTGGGTATCGTTATTGTACATTTTTTGCTTTGTATCATGGTCATGATTTTTTTTTTTTTTTTTCCCAGGGTGTTTTGGAGTCTGACTTAGGCCATCTGATGATTGTTGCCAGTAAAAATTTGGAAAGTCTTTCTATACAGCCTTCTCTTACTAAAGATAGCTTATTTGTATCATTGTCTTTTGCACAGTGTGAATTTCCTAAACTGAAGAATTTGCATTTGGGCTATGTAGATAAATTAAACTCATCAGGTATAGTGATTACACAAAAATAATTATACTATATGGTATATTTATGTATATATTTATACATTTACTAATAATTTATCACACAAAACTACCAAAAAATCTATGGGATTAAAAATAAAATGTAAATAAAAAGATATGCCGTGGAAAAAATAAGAAAACAAAATAAATCGTATTTTGTGTTTAAAGTTTCGGACTTATTAGTACTGCTTTTATGTACAAGTATTTTTGCTATGAAAAGTTAAATAAAAAGTTAATTTTTAAAAACATTAATAACTTTACAATTCAATCTTTGAGAACTGTATGTTAGATACAACTGTAGTATCACAGATTTGTCAAAAGGCTCAGCTAAAGCCTGTTGCATAGAATTTGCTTTTGTAATCACCAAAAGATTTTTCTTTCTAAAAATGCAGTATTTCATCTGGCTTTGAATTACAGGGAAAAAAACTGGCAGTTTTACCTCCCCTAAATAGATCGTGAGAATTATAAATCTCAAGACTTAGATAAAGAATTTTTTGTTTGCACCTTTAACCATTTAGCTTTCCAGCTCTTTTTCATCACTTTGCTTAAACCTGACCTTTTATTTTAAGGCGATATATTCACTTGAAGCAGTAAAATTTATAAAATCAATTTCTTGGTGTTTTCTTTTGCAATATTTGTTTCTTTAACTTCTCAAAATCAATTATTTTTCCATTTCAGAATAAGAACTTTTCTTTATTTTTGAAGAGGAATATTTATCACAGTTTCAAATATATTATTTGCAGCTGTAATAACTATGTAACATGTTTCATGTCTTTCTGATCACAACCATTTTGATCCATTTCATTTAAATTTGCAGTTTGATAACTCAAAGAAAATCTTTTGCATTTGTCAAAAATGGGCAAGAAAGGAGCTGAGTATCAATAGGCTTAACATTAAAAGTGTAATTTTTTGTCCACTATCCATCATAGATCAATCAGCTGCAGAGGTATTGTTAAGAAAGAATGATAATTTATAAGTGTTAGCATGGGTAAAGATTTGTGCCAGAGTGACTTTTTTGCAACAAAAGTAAATTTGTGATACTTGGAAGAGGGGGGGGGGGATTTTCTTTCTATCTCTCTTTTTGTTAAAAAAACTTGGAATGTGGATTTTACATTGAGTTTTAGCAGAGGTATAAACACTGAATGAGTTTCTGAAAGTATTTTTAGAAGAAATTTAGTTTTATTTTGCATCTGCAATAAAAGAGGTCTAATGGTGATATAGTTTAGATACAGCTAAAATTACAGATATTTTACATTCTCAAATCTGGAATTTCCCAATTTGTGAAATGTAAACTTACTATTCTTCTTAAGTTTTGTTTTTAAAATATGAAATCATTCAAAGATTTCATAAATTAAAAATTTTTAGACTATACAGTCAAAAGTCGTTAATCCGGACTCATCGGGACTTCGGCGATTCCGGATTACCGATTTTTCTGGATTATAGATCATCAGTTTAAATCTGGTAAGATGGCATGCAGAAATTAAAAAATTAAAAATATGAAACCGTAATTTATGAAATAAAGAACAATTATGATCTAAAGGGTATCAAAATTTACAAAAAGAAAAAGCTTAATATTTATTTGTTTACGTTATTAAACATTTCCTTCAATGTAAGTTGCTTCGTTTCATGTGATAATACTTTCTCTTTAATTCTATTAAACAGACATAATTTCTTGTTTAGTTATAGGACTTGAAAGCTCCACTGTTCAAGTCCTATAATTGCTGTGTTGAGAATACCGACTAATTTGTCAATCGAAATGTTTTCGTTTTCAATAACCTCTGGGTCACTTTCTTCACTATCGGAAGCGAATTATAATGACGAGGAACTTGATTTAAATCATATCAAAGACAGAGTGCATCGAGATGAAATACTACACTTAGTAAGGAATTATAAGCCAAATAAAATAAAAACAACTGCCCTGAAGATAAGGATAGTGCTGACAGATCAACTTCCAATCCGCTGCGTGAAATTGATAAACAGATTTCGGATTTCAAAACATACTTTTGCTTTTTAGATACAAATTACATATTAGTAAATATATATCGGAAATTATATTTGACATAATCGAAAGTTCAAGCTTACTTTTATGAAATTGCTCTAACAGTCTGCAAAAAATAATAAGCCGGATCCAATTTGAAGATTAAGGAACAACACAATCTGAAACATTAACTGAATTAGATAATTTTAGCTTAGCGTATAACTCCATTACACATTAAACGCGCATGCGCACAAACATATTCGCAGCTGTAAAGGTCTTACGCGCTCTCGTAAACGCCTGTGCGCATGCGTGAACGTGACGCATGCGCAGAAAGTTTGTAGTTTTGAGGTCCAGATTATAGATCATTCCGGATTATGGGTGTCCGAATTAACGACTTTTGACTGTATTAAGTATGCCTAGTTCATGTAGTGTAAAATGGCAAACTTCTTGTTTCAGTGATCTCATGGAATTTCAGTAGATTTTTGTTTTTGTCATTCCCCTACATCATATATAGAATAATCCAGTAGATTCTGTAATGTGGGTCATTTCTCTGGCTGTAAAATGGTAACATAGGAAGTATTCTCTGTGGCTGTGTGATTACGTACCATGTGATCTTGTTCCCAAGCTCTTCATTAGATTAAACTCTGGCAGACCGGGCTTCAAATCTGAATAAAAATCAGCCACTTGGATAAAGATTGGGATTTAGAAAGGATGGGTTTTTGAATCAGTAATGAACTCTAAACAGCTTGGGTTAATTTGAACCAGTCTAGCTTAGCCCAATCTGTATTTCTAAATGCACTTAGTAGGGTTTGCTGGAAGATGAAAGCATTAACTGTAGCATCCTGTTGTGATATTCAGACACATGCACCCCTCGGGCTTCCAGGTGCTTAATGAGAGATATCTTTACTCAGCGACAGAATGGACAGCTGACCTTTGGAAGAAAGGTGCAGCGGAAACCTCCCTAGTGTGGTTTCCGGACATAACGGAGTAATTATTCTCTTTCCAGGTTTTTAACAAAACAAGGAGAGAGCTTTGTGTAAAAAGCTTTTGATGCTATAAACGAGTGAAAGCAGACGCATTTTAGCATCGCCGCCGGGTCAGCGGCTTTTGTATGAGTTATGGCTGAAGAGATTCAATTAGTTTAATATTTATTCACGAATTTCTTATAAGGTATGTGCCTACATACGAAGCATTTATTTGTGACTACATATGAAGCTACATACATTTTTTTAAATACATGAAATTTTAATTAAACACACATGTTTTTGAGTAAGATGGGATATAAAATTATGAATTTAAATAGAATTATATAGAACGTTTCATTACTTTTTTAAATATAGGCAATATTTAGTAAAAATTTTCATTTACGCCAGATCTATAATAGATTCTAATGAATATATTTCAATAATCTTTACACAGTATATAAATAACATACTTACCTGTGTTCTGTAGTAAAAGATTTGCTGTACTTATAAATTTTTTTGAAATATTCAAAACTTGGTACAAAAACTCAAAATTTAAAAAAAAGATCCTCTTTTCTTCAAAATACTGTCAATAAAATGAATAAATAAATACAAATAGGTCAGATTTTGCTACAGAACACAGCTAAAGATGAGTAAATTATTTTGGCAAAATTTCATTTCAATATTTTAAGTACATTTTGAGAAATTAACGTAATCGCAATCAAAAGTAACGAAAAACACATTTTCTCAGAAAAAGCATTTAAAGATTTTAATATAGCACACAAAATTTTGTAGCCACTTTAGACCTTTAAAACTCGTCGTATTTGTATGTTAGGCCCTTTTTTACTTCATTCTTAACTAATTTTGACTTTCTTTTAGCATTTTCTTTATAACTTTGTTGCTTGTAGGGATTGGCATTTTGATTTCTGAATTCGCTGTTTGTCTATTCTCATGTAGCTTTCAAGCATAATGGGATTAATTTCTATTTCTATATACATGAAAATAGGTCATAAATATCTTGAATTAAATAATAATACAGGAATATGTGCACCTAAAAGCAATGTTTTCAGTTGGACAAAAGTTTCTTTAGGTAAAATAGTCCTCAAAAGGTTATTAAAACACTCATTATTGTTTTAAGTCTTCCCATGTAGGCATTTTATCAGCAAAGTGTCACACAGTGAGAGATGTGTTGCATTTACAGCTTTTATATTATTTAATAATTAGAAAATAGTTGTTTAAACTTATTGTTTACATTTTTACGACCATTTAAATGCCAACTTCCAGCATCCAAAAATTCACTTCCGGTTTATTTTTTATATTATAACTTTGCTTCTAGTTATCGTAAAAACAAAAATAAAGGATTTTTGGAAACCTAAATGTATGGCCTATAAAATGAATAAAAAAAAGAATTTTAGAAAATTTTCACCAAAACGACGAATTTAGGGTAGGCACATACCTTAAGTTTTCAAAATAAATATTTTAAAAGATAACCTGTCTTTTCTTGCACCCAGCACGGGTGTTCTGACATTACAGCATTATTAAAATGGTGGCAGCGGTTCAGATGAGAAAATCCATGCAGAAATTACAGACTGTCAGGCTCTGAAAATTCTCAAGATTGTGGGACAGTCATTGTCCGAATATCATCAGTGTTTTGCAGATATTACAGACCATCAGGTTCTGAAGTGCAGCACGAAAAGTTACGAACATCAGTTTGAAAAAGCGATTACAGCTCTCTGAAGCGGTGAAATAAGAAAATCCATGCAGAGATTGCAGACCATCAGGCTCTGAAATTCTTCTCAAGTTTGTAGGACAGCCATTGTCCGATCATCATCAGTGTTTTGCAGATATTACAGACCATCAGGTTCTGAAGTGCAGCACGGAAAGTTACAAACATCAGTTCGGAAAAATGATTTACAGCTCTTCGAAGCAGTGAGATAGAATCCACGAAGAAGTTTACGGACACCAGTCCAGACAAAAAGAAACGACAGTCTCCTGAATACAGCTCATCTTCAGCAGCATAAATTGTGCGATCATCTTGTGTTCGA